GGAGAGGCAAGAGCACCCGTAACGGAGCGTGGCTTAAGCGGCAGAGAACCTCTGAAGGGCTCGGCTGCTGGTGACCTCCTGGCTGGTGGCAAAACACTTGAACGAGAAGCAGAAGACTTGAAATTGGGTTCCTTCCATCCCCTCAGTTAATTCTCCGTTCCTGAGCATGCTGCTCTTTGTTGTGGAGGTATCTGCTGGCCTCCAGTAACTCCCAGTGCTAAACACAATCCCACCCCACAGCACAGTGCATCGTGGCTATGGAATGCTCTACCTGATCTAGGTAAAAATTTGCATTTTAATGCAGGCTGCTAAAACTGCTGGGGAACTTTGAAAGGCTGGTGTGGACCCTAAGCTCTGAATGTGAGTCTTTAAAAAACATGATTAGCCAAAAGCCGCTTTGTTATTTTTAATCTTTAAGCATTTTTACAGCTTCAGCCTCTTATTTCACATTGTTTCAAAATTTGTACCTACATCTTTTAGTACAGATCTGTGGGAATAAGGATTCATTCTGGTTTTTGTTTTTTGAATGAGTAAGTAAACACCAGTGAGGCTGTTGGTGTTGCAGGGTGTGATTTAGTGTAGGTTAACGTAGTGCAGAGGGTATTTTGCAATAAAATTTTAAATTAGAGAGAATATATTTACTGCCTGTCGTGAGTCTGGCTTATGAACTATAGGCTTGATATTTGGCAGAATGTGTAAGAACTGATAATTAGGTGTGTGTGTGCAGGTAGTGACATTTGTTTAAAACAAAGTACTGTAAAACTGAATTCATTTATGCCTCTTACTTTGTTCGGTTGCTCATAGACAAGTAATAAAATACACCAATAATATCTCTGTTTGCAATAAGCTTTAATTATACAGGCACCTGATAAAATGCAGATGAGCTATCTGCTCTCTGTGTATGAGGAGTCTAATAAATAGAACTGGCAGCTCATCTGTGTGCATGTATGTGTATGAGTGAGAAAGAGGGGAAGAGAGGAACTCATCTGTAATAACAATGATAGCTTTGAAGGTGGGACTTGGTAATTTTCACAGCTTTATTGGCTGGAATTATCAGATGAAAAGGGTTGGCCCCATTGTGAGTGTGTGTTTGTGTGTGTGCTTTTCCCCACCCAAGTATATAGGTACAATATGGACATAATGGACAGGTATAAAATTCTGTGCTTTAATGATCTACCTTAGATTTTTTTTTTTAATTTTAACAATTTAAAGATCTATTTTCTGCTCCCTTTACTAATGTGAGTAAAACTGCAAGATTCACATACTTGAGAATGGATTTCAAAAAGCTATGGGGAAATGGGGACACAGGATACTATATATTTTTAATTTTTTCGGTAATAATTTGTTTTAAAACTTATGGCTCCTGATCTGTGGTATTTGCACATGTAGTTCTTTCCCTGGCAGAGGATGTTCCTAAATTAACTTTCTGTGCCATGGTCAGGGGGATCCATTTGATCCAGTGTGTTCTCCTCCTATTATTGCTGAATGTTGTAATATGAGTGTGCTCAGATCCTGTATGCAAACATTGATTAGTGATCATTAATCCTCTACATATTTAGTGTTTGATTACCTTTTTTGAAGGATGCTGGGACTGGATGAAATCAGGTCTGCGGTAGGATTCGCTGTTTAGTGTCAGACATTTGTTCCAGCAGCTGCCCTGAAAGAAAAATATATATTCTACATCTGGTGGAAGTTAAGGAATTTCTCCTTGGCTCCAGGAACCCAAAGTCCAGATTTTTTGTTAAAGCAGAACAAGGTATGTGACACTTTTGCTGTTTCTTACTTACCTTTGGCCAGTCAAAGGTCATGTAAAAAGAAGAATTACAACTGTTGTTTCAGTAGGTGTTTACTTGAATGTTTAGTCAGGTCTCAGAAGCAGCAGAGTGCTTGGGGTGTGGTCCTGAGAGCATCCTCCAGATTAGCTTCCACACCACTCCCGAGTCACCCTGAAATATTCATCCAAGCACACCCTGGGATTCCCAGAGTTATTTGGTGTTTGTGTAGTCCATGCAGTGTGCTGCTGAGTTAGGGCAAGCAGCTGGAGCCAGGCTGGGAATGTAGTGGATAAGGCTTTCTCTCAAACAGTGCTCTGAGGGCAAAGTCAAACTCCTTTGTGTCAGCTGGTCCTCCAGTATCTGACTAGTCTGTAATCTCTATTTCCAGAACAGTGTTCTGTAAGCATCAGACTGTAGGAAACAAGATCTGGTAGGAATAAATATTAAATTCCTGCTGAGAAATATTATGGAAAATATGTAGAGGTGGAGTCAGCTTTGTAGAGGAATTTTGAAAGAATTTGAAATTACACACAGGAGTTGTGAGACCTGCAGGCTGGATCCACCATCAGGTGGATTTTGTCTGAGAGGGAAAGGGGACGGTAGCCCCAGCACGCGGGGACTTTGCTGTGGTGTGTGAGGGGAAAGGATCCGTGCCCCTTCGGCAGCGCTTGGCTCGCTTTGTTCACAGCTGCGCTCAGCCCTTAAATATTTGTGTTGACCTGATGGCAAGTGGAGATGTGTAGAGAAAGGAGTTCAAACTGTTGACCTGCTAACACCGGCTTTTGCAACTTGACTCCGGTTGTTTAAGATCTGTGATCTGCAGTTGAGCCATTCTCTTCCCATTGAGGAGGAATGAAAGGTGTTACACAGGCGGAGAAATACCTTGTTTTCAACCCAGATTGGGATGGTGGTTTAAATACTGATATTATGTTATGCACTGTGGTTTGACACTGCTAGGGAATGTCTGAAGTGTGCTTGTGTTAAAGATCCTGATTTAATACTAAAGCTCCCGATTAGTAGGAAAGGGTTGCTGGGGTTTTGTGGAGAAAACAGAGTAAGAACTAAGTTCCCACTGAATTAATATAAACCAGAATACATGTGGGTACTCAAAGAAAATCCCTTGTGTTGTTGTGGCCAGCATTTGCAAGAATCTGTGTACCTTAATATACAGCACCTCTATTTTTTTATACTCCTTGCCGTGACATAATTTTATGTACATACGTATTTTTCACCAGAAATTTCTCACTGGCAGCGTAATGTGCAAGTTGTCAAGGTGTTCAGGAGGGTTTTTTGACAAGAAACTTGAAGAAATCTGGGGATACAGACCCCACCTTCTCCACTCTGGTCTGGCAGGGCGGTTCCTCACATGTTTCCCCTCACACGTCTCCGCTGGGCGCCATTTTGTCCGTTCTGCAGCCCCTTCCTTCAGCGAGGGAGACCCCGGGCCGGAACCGGCTGGAACCGGCCGGAACCAGTGGGAGCAGCCCCCGGCAGCCCTGCCTCCCCTCACAGCCCTGCTGGCACCCACGGGTACGAGCCAGCTTCTGAGATGGAAGGGTGTGGAAATAAAGATGACAGAAAATGAATAAAATATAAATTTAAGGAAAGCTGGTGGGGACAACGGGTTGAATAAGCGATGAAGGTCAAGGTGAGGTGGGAGAACAGAGCACTGAGTTGTTGGCGCAAGTTGGAACCCGAGATTCCTGGAAGTCATCGTGTGGGAAAATGTGGAATTCTGTCCTGGGCAGGTGGGCTGAAGTCTGAAGGTGAGGAGAAAGGGTGTGGGAGATGAGGCTGGAATGAGCCAGGGTCCCCAGGGGAGGAGGAGGAGGAGAACCCCCTGTGAGGGAGGCAGGGAAGGCTGTGGAAGATGGCGGCAGCTCCTGAGGGGAGCTGGCTCGGCCTGAGGGCTGGGAACAGTGTCCCAGGGGAAGGCACACACTGAGGGCACTCATTCTGTGTCAATTATAAAATTAGTTTGGTTTTAGTGGTTATAGTAAGAGTGTGTTCCTGGTGTTGCTGGCATAAGCAACGGGGGGTTTGACCACGGTGTGTGTGAGGAAAACTCATGTGTGGATTGCTGAGGTATTGTAATTCTCTTAATTGCTCTGAGACAGGAAAGCAGAGCTGGACAGGTAAGTTCTGCACACAGATAATTGCTTTTGGTGCTTGACAGAAGCTGTAAACACTGGTCGATTCCCTGTAAACATGTAAGAGCTTCATTTACCTTTAGTTGTAAGGATTACATCAGAAATATCCTCAAGAACAGCAGATTTATCTTAAATCAACTCCATTTGTACATATCATTATAGAAAAGTAAGCTAAAACACACCTAGTATATATAGTAGACAGACTAAATTTCCTGTTTTAAATTTCCTTCTTTGCTGGATACCATAAATTTTGCACATGTGTGATAGATATTTGGCTCCAACTCTAATATCTTTATAGAATAAAAACATTTTAATTACTCAAATTGTTAATTAATATGTGATTCATGCTGCTATAACAAGATATATCAGCAACTCTCCTAGAATCAATCAAGTGAAGGTTACTGTTTTATTTAGGAGCAAATTGAAGATTCTGTGTTTTAATTAAAAACTTTGTGTTATATCTAAAATATCTACATTGCTTTTATCGCTCTATATTTCTAGCTTTAATACTCCCATTTATTTACTCATGTAAATTCATACTAATCTAAAATTGTCATTGAATTAAGCAACTATAGGGAAAGAAAATTTACAGCTGCAAATAGGTGTGGTTTCAGAAATGACCAGCAGTCTCATAGGAGAACAAACTACTAAAATATGTCATCTTTAAATTTAAAATCAGAGGAGAAAACATGAATTTTCAGAGTTACAGGAATGAAAACATATAAATTTTTGTGAAATGGGAATGAAAAAACTGAAACAAAACAAAAAAGAGGTAAAATATTATAAATTCCTGAATATTCAGGTGTTCTGTATGGCTGAGTGTTACTCAGACCTACTTTAAGTGAAGTCTCTGTGAGAAAACAGCTTTGGGGATGGACAGAACAGGAAAGGCAGCAGGTGGAGGAATGAACACATGCAGGGAGACACTTCTGAGACAGAAGGAATTTACATGCAAGTGGAAGGAGAGTGACAAATGTTTGTGTGTTTTCCATGGTTGCTTTGGTAATCCAGTTTTTAAACCTTTATTGTATCTTTCCTCTTCCATTGTATCTTCATTTCTTCCTCAATCTTCATTTCTTCCTCACACCTTTGCATTCTGTCCTCTTCTTGGAGATGAACAGAGGCTTTCAGGGTAACTTTTCCCATTATTTTTTCCATACTTTTTGTATAAACTACTCCTGTCATTGTGAGCGATCCTGTCCACACCTGTGCAGGGACATCATTATAACAACAGGTACAATGTTACAGGAGTTGCTAAAAAGTTGTTAAAACACATTTCTAATATGTTAGAATGCATAACCTGGTTTTTGTTTTTAGTTTGAGATGGCAGTCAGATGTCCTAAAGCACAGTACAGGAGATGTTTAAACCTCTGTATATCTTAGGAAGTGCTCCTGTTGTAGTCACTCTCCAGCATTGCATTCTCCTTGTGAGTTTGAAAAGGAAAATTTCCTCTGTACATCTCCGGTCAACCACAGGAATTCCATCCTGCATCCCAGCAAAGGAAGCAGCTGAACACTGCTAGACCTCACTTTAGTGTCTGATACTGTAAGTAATGGATATTTAATGTTTTTTGAGTTTCTCCTGAAAATATAGAGTGTTTTTGCACATCATGGTCTTCCAAGCTGAATTCAGCCTGTGAAATTTGTGGGTAGTGTTTTGTACCAAGATGCTTTTGAAACAAAGACCCAGTTTTAAGAGTCTTCCCTGAAAATTTGTACTTGAATTGCACTGGTAGCCACTGTATGGGAATTAAGCATGGCTAGTACTCACCCCTGGGACTCCTGAAAGTTTTAGCCATTATGATTGTCTTGGATTGTTTTAAGGAACTGGAAAACCATTAAAAACAAGCCCTGACTAGACAAAATTGATTTTCAGTGGAAACCCAGCTTTGTACCTATAGCTACTATGGCAATACACTATGTATCTCTTTTTTTATTAAAAAAAAAGAAAAAAGTAGTTTTGTTTATGGGGCTTTTGTTTTGTGTTTTTGGTTTTTTGTTTTTGTTTATGGGTCTGTTTTTCCCCTCAGTGTTGTGAAGGGAAAGACAAAGTGTTTGCCATTTCCTCATCCCTTGGAGTGCCCCAAAGCTCAGTGGCATCTCAGGGAACCCTCAGACCAGTCAAACTCATGCTATTGACTTTGCACATCCAGCCTTTCACCCAAGCACTGGGTTTTAGTATTGATATTCTGTGACTAGATTATACTTGCTTTTTCTTCCAGGGATGGACATGACCCAGAAGTTTATTAGTGGCTTGGCTATATCAAATTTATTGAGGAAAAAAGCTTTGAAAAGGTAGTCTGTGTTTGAGAGCTTCAGCTGAAAGCTCTCACAGAGTCTCCTGGCTTCATCCTGCAGTTCTTCTTAAGTTATGTACTAGGAAAAGATCTGTGACAAACAAAAGACAAAAAATCCTATGTTTGCTTAGTGAACCTGAGAATAGCCAAAATAAGAGTTACAAATATTTATTTGAAAAGTGACATGAGAAGGAAGGGTTTGCTGAGGAGCATTTTTGGTACAGCCAGACCATGATGCTACTAACCAAGATACACCTGTAGATATTTGCTGAACTCAGAGGAGTGCCAGGAAACCTTCTCCTGCTTCAGCAGAGACAAGAATACCAGATATAAACAACTTCTATTTTATTGTGTGATAATGCTCTGTTTATCTGTTGGGCTTTTTCTTGCTGGGCTTTTTAATCTTCCTAAGTGGTAAATGAAGCAAGATCTGTCAAAGTCTCTCTGAATTTGTAACTGGTAGAAAGATTTTTGTTGAGATAAAGAGGACATTTTTAAAATGCAACCTTCTTAGTTGTGTAAATGGATTTTGTGGGCTCAATTGGAAGTTGCTGTGTTTGTCTGGAGAAGGAAAGCTGAGGTCACTCACTCTGCAGACACAACTGTATGCCTATCTCCAGCCTCCTTTCTATGGAGACACTTCCTCTCTCAATTCTTCCACAAACAAAAAAAAACCAAGTTAAGTTTTGTAAAATGTAGGTGTCTTATGCACAGTCTTACTGAAATTTATTTATTTATAGTTGTTGATAGTGATTTATTGTTATTAATAGTGGTTCTTCAGTAATGCCTGGGGTAAGGTGTGTAATGCAGCCATGTGGCTGTTGTGCTGTGGAAAGGGAGCAGTCAGAGACTTGGCTGCATTTATTTGTACAGTTAGGCCTTATTTTCAAAGTCAGCAGTAGTTTCCAGAGCTCAGCATTTTGGAAATGGAAGTTTCAGGTATAATTACATCCAACACTGAACCCCAGTGAAGTGGTCTGGTGGCTGGGATTGTGTGTGGAGGCTGTGAAAGGAGGCTGTGCGTGGAAGCCGTCTCACTTAAACGCCTTGATGTGCACGGTTGCGTGTCTAGGAATTCTTAAAGACTTATTTATTGAATTTTTTCCTTAACTGTATGTATTTTATTGAATTTCTGTGGAGAAGATGTGGTACATATTTATTTTTTGGACATAGTGATTGAAGACCTTGGGCAGCCACAGCATTACTGAGGACAAATGAATATATTCTGCAGTCCAGAAGTGGAGTCCAAAATACTTTCAGATATTGTTTCTCTTGGATGGATGTTAAAAACATTTAAGTTTTGAGAGGATTCCTATGAGACAGCACCTTTAAACTGAGAAGGGTCAATTTCTTTGACAGCCAAGACAGGAGGTTTCAGAGGGGGTTACTGTGATCCAATACCTGAATTATGTGTGTCAGTCCTTAGGGTGTATCTTTTAAAGTGGGAGTGACTGGGGCTGGAAACCTGGTAGGGTGGTGGCTGTTCATTCCCATGTGCACAGGGGATATTACACTTAAACCCTGTGTTAGAGGAACACTAACGGTGCAAAGTTAAGTGCTCTGAAGGCAAGAAAAGGCACCATTAAGGTTGGTGAGACAGGGATGCAGCTGGCTGGAATTCTGTGAGTGCTTGTGCTCAAGCCCAGCTCTCCCTTTGCTGTAGCTCTTTTGGGGAGTGAAAGGCAGATGGGGTTTGGGGAGGTTCTTTTATTTCTAAGACTTATGTTTTCTTTTAAACATCACCTGAGAAACAAGACTACTGTTTTTGCTTAAACCTATAGTGGGTTAGTAGGAAAGGTAAGGGGAACAGAAGATGTAAAATGCAGGCTGTACTGAGTAATTTTCCATTTGATTCCAAACAAATTAACACAGCCCAAAGCCTCCAAAAACCTTATGTAAGATGTGTGTGCATGGAGCACAATAAAATGTTACTGCTTGTGGTTTCCTTTCATGATGCAGGAGACAACGGAAATAAAACCTTGACAAGGAATTATACCTGTGACTCACCGTGATCACAGATTGTCTCTTGAAACGTTAAAATTCAGCCGATGTGTTAAATGATAGTTGTTATGATATGAACTCTCTGTAGCTGGAGTTCTCTCACCTTAGTATGCTTTATAGAGCTGTGGAGAGGTGTTTTCTAGGAAGAATGAGAGCTTGCATGTTAATAAACATAAAACTCCCTCCTTATGCTCTTAATATTTTGGCTTGGATTTCCCCTCCCTTTTGAAAATATTGGGTCCTATGTAATGATTTTCCTTCTCACTCCTGTCACGTGGAGACCAAAGGCAGAGTTGATGTGTGAACTGCTATTGGTAATCAAAGTGGGTAAGACTCTCACTGGATTTATTTTTTTTTCTCAGTGTGTTTAATCCTGTACTGAGTGAGGGGGAACACTGGTGGAGGGGTTTTTTTGTATTTTTGCTGTCTCTAGATATCCTGAGGTCAGAATATTGCAGTGATTGTCTTTATGGTCATAAAAGACCCGTGAACTTGGAACAGAAGGCTCTTGTGGGGGTTAGCTCAGAAATATAAATGGCCAAAGCTAAAAGGGTTGATTGTCTTTGGTGGAAAATATATATACTTTTTGGAACACTGGAGTGGAAGTAAAGACAAATGAACATCCTTATGGTGTAATCACCAGGTTGAAAAATCAGGTGACTTTAGTTCTCAAACTCCCTGTTAGCACAGTGACTTTTTATGTTCTTTATATCTTCGTTGGTGGATGAGTCAATGTTTAAATGCTCATTTATCATTTACTATATAAAAGAAAAGCTATTATCTGAAACTCATTTTTACAGTTGCAGGCAAACTGAAATAATCATTTTCAAGGACCTAAAGCTGTTTCTTGAAGAATGTCATCATTTTCTTCTGCTTTTACTTACCGCTTACACCGGTATATGAGGTACCTTCAAGAGCTGTACCTTGTGTGGCCTGGCTGCAGATGTTGCCAGCCTCCATACCTGTACATAACTGAGCTAAAGGAACTTTGTTTCTGCAAACTGCATTCATCTTGCAGACAGGACAAAAGAACCACTTTAGAAGCACGGCTCTCCCTGTACACTTGTGCTGCTTGCTCAGTCATGTGCCCTGCCCTGGAGGCTGAGCAGCCCCATTGGCCTGGACAGAGGATTTCAGGAGCTGGGGGTAAAACCCTTGCTCATGTCCCTCAGGAGGGGAGCTGCTGTTCTCTGCTCTTCTTTTGATGCTAAGAACCTCTCTGAGTAAATGAACTGTCTGAAGTGGGAGAGGAGTAGTCTTCATTCTGCATTATAATTTGACGGCTATCCTAATAGATAATATTAATATTAATTTGTGTGTGTCATCTTCTCTGTTCTTAGTCTGCATGGGTGTAGCTTATGTGCAAACCACACTCAGAGGTTTCACCCACTGATGTTGCTCAGGACTCCTGTTCTGGGTTGTGCCAGGACTCAGAGGTTGTGTTTCCTCTGGGGGAAAGCACAACTGCACATTGAAGTGCCCTGGGATGTTCTGTCAGAACCAGAGTGTTGCATTAGGGCAGGCTGTACCATATGTTTGCTTCCATTACTTTAATCTCATGTAACTTCATTTAATTTTTATTCCCTCGGTGCCCCCATATTTTGGTGCCCCTTTGTGTCTCATTCTTTATCTCACCAAATGGCCAAAGCAGGCAAATGAGGTGATAAGCTGAGGCAGCCAAGTGGTGGGACCAACAGCAGTGTCACTGCAGGAAATGATAAAACTCCTGTGATTATGGATCACTGGGGATTCTTCTGCTCTCTTGCAGGCCCAGGCCCTCTGCTTCTGACAGAAACCCCCATTTTGTGCCCCTGTGTCCCCTTATTGTCAAACAGACTCTTATTTGCTGGCAGAAAGGTGAGGTCCTGCACACACAAGGCCTGTTCTCCCTTAATCCCATTTCAAAACCAGGTTGGAAATACAGCTATTATAGGTTTTAATTTACATCAGGGTCTAATTGTTAAAATCATCCTGTTAAGGTAACACATGACATGATAAAAATAAGTTATATGTGCTCTTTTAAACTCACCTGTATCTGCTTGCACATCTTGCAATTTGTGAGCACCAGAAGACTGTAATTTACTTAAATGCTTGTACCTTTATTTTATAAAAATCCATAGGTACTTTTTAAAATAAAATGTACTTTTTATAGTGTAATATTTTGAGTTGAATATGGCGAGAATTGAACTGCTTTATCTCTAATGTAATAGAAAAGTATGATCTCTTCTTGGGGAAATTGAGGTTTTCT